GTCCTGAGGATGTGGTTTGTATATAAGTCTCTCATCTACTGAAACCATATTTGTAAAAGAAATATTAGTAGATTTGAGTTCCATTGTTTTCTTCACAGGATCAACTACAGAATGTTCTTGCACGTATGTTTTGGTTCTCGCTGCGCCAATAATAGACTTCACGATGGAAGGCAGTCCCCACTCGGTGCTGAGAAGTCTGTGGCTGTGCAGCTTGCCTGAAGGATCTACATGTCTGTCCAGCACGTCAACCCTGACCACACTTGGGTTCATAGGGTTTGGGTACTTCTGCATCGTGGCTGTGGTAACAGTTTCCCACGGGTGGTCAAATACATGCTCCGAAGTCCAGATCTTCATAGTGCCGGCGGCCTGCTCGGTGTTCGGAGGCGCTCGGGACAATGAGGCCTCCTTGTCCTTTTTCTTCTATTTTGACACAGTCTTTTGTGAAGTCTCTAAAATTCCCCAGGCTGGGCTCAAATTTTTGATCCTCCTGCCTCAGCCTCTCAGAACGCTGGGATTAAAAGCATGTACTAGAGCCAGTAAAATAGCTCAATAGACTAAGCGCCTGCTTAGACAAGCACAGGAACCGGAGTTCCATCCCAGCACCAGATGCTGCACTGGTCCAACCCTGGGCACACTGAGTTGGCCACCGAGACCGGGTGTGGTGGCACACACCTGTAATCTCAGCATTAGGGAGGCTGAAAACAAGAGGATCACTATGAGTCCAAGCTGTATAGTGAGACTCTGTACCAAATACATTAAAAGAAAAAAAAAAGCATGTACCACTATCCCCAGTTTATCGGGTTTTGTTTTGTTTTTAGAGGACTATAATAGTTCCTCTAATTCACAGAATACCCCAAGGGGTGCCTAAACACTTAAGATAGTACCAAACTCCATATTTATAGTACTATGTCTTTTCCTTTGAATTTTTATTTTTACAAGCCCATGTTTGTAGAACATAATGATTATAGTCTTCACAGGGTCTGGCATGTGTATATAATACATCTTAATTCTTTTTTATGTCCTTCCCTCTCTCTTCCCTTCCCCATATCTTTTCCTATACATATATACCTGTGACAAAGTTTGATTTATAAATTAGACACAACAAGATTAACCAAAACTAATAAAATAAAATATAACCATGGATTATTAATAAAAGTCACATGATTGTAGTCAGCATATCTTATTGTACTTTTATCTTTTTACCTAAAGAAGCATTTTACAGGCGCTATTTGGCACCTATACTACTCTATAGTGTTTTTGAGCCATTCTTAAGTAAATCTACAGTTATTTTCTGTTTCAATTACTGATGTCATCTAGTAGGATCACTTTCCTGGCCCCTATTCCCCACTCTGAGGCAAAGAGATAAACCCAAAGAGGTTGGTAAGTAGATAGATCTCCCAGGGCCCTAAAGGCCACATGAAGGAATTTAGGCATGATTGCAGAGCTGTTAACAAGACATGTGCATTGTAAGAAGGAGAAAGATCAGATCACTTGGGCTGCAGAGAAAACTGTAACTCTAGAAGTTTTGACAGGAAGGAAATGGTGAGATAAGGCTTCAGTCACAGAATATGGGATCAAGGGAAAGACAGGTGCTATGGTTTAAATTCATCCCTCTGCAAAGTTCATTTGTTGGAAACTTAATCTTCAGAGAAAAAGCGTTGTGAGACAGGAGCTAAGAAGTGGTGAGGTCAAATAACTGCCTTTGAGAATGCATTGTCATTATTACAGGAGTGGTTAGTTATCTCGAGTGGACTTGTTATAAAAGCAATATTAGGCCCTTTCTGCTTTCTGTCATGATCAGTATGCTAGCCCTCTCTAGATGAAGCCTCTCAGACTTGGGCTGCCCAGACCCTAGATCTCTAAGAAAGAAATTCATTTAAAAACTAAGGGCTGGGGATATAGCTCAATGGCATAAGCACCTGCATGGCAAGAGCAGGGTCTGGAGTTCGATCTCTGGCACAAAAAAATAAAAAAATAAATGAATTACTGACCTCAAGTATTCTGTTATAGCAAAACAAAACAAGCTAAGACAATGGGTGCAACTAAGGTTTGCTTGAATACTGGCCAAAGTATCCAATATTGCAAGAGGCTTATGGGAAATCCCTGAGAATTGATGTCTCAGTTACTTTTTTCTCATTGCTGGGATCAAATACCTGATGCCCAAAATGTAAAGGAAAGGTTTATTTAGTTCACAGTTTGTGGAGGTTTCATTGCATACTCAGCTGGCTCCAAAGCAGACTGGCACATGGCACAAGGCACCAGTTCATGGTAGCAGAAAACAGCAAAACAGCAAGAACAAAAAGGAGAAGTGGTGGCAACAAAGGCAACAGAGAGCAAATCTCTCTCCCTTATGTTGCATTCAGGCTATCCAACCCAGGCTAGGGGTAGCACTTATATCTGTAAGCTCAGGACTGAATCATGAATTAATCACAAACTCTAGAAGCTGCCCCATGACTGCATAAGGCTTTGGGGGGACCACTAGACATAGACCATAACAAATGGGAAGGGAAACTTGAACATTATAAAAAGTTGTCTTTTAAAAAAAAGTTTCGGGCCAGGGAGATGGCTCAGTGGATTAAGCACTTCCCTGGCAAGCGCAAGGGCCTGAGTTCAATCCCTGGTTTCACAAAAAAAAAAAAAGTTTCATACAGGGCCAGGGATGATATAGCTCAGCAGCACAGTACCTGCCTGACAATCATGAGGTTGTAAGTTTGATTCCTGGTAAAAAAAAAAAAAAAAAAAAAAACTGAAAAAAAAGTCACTCTTCTTTTCAAAACTCCCTAGTAGCAATATCACCATGGCTGACAAATCCCTACACCATTAGGTCCCTGGCTGTCTAACATGTTCTCCTACTGTTTTCCCTCTTACTTGCTTCATGTCAGCCATAAAGGCTTTCTTGCTATTCCTATAGCATCAAGCATGTGCCTGCTTCAGAGTAAATTTGTGGTCTCTGTTAGGACATTCCCCAGATATCCACATGGTTTATACTATTTAGTTAAATCTAGTGTCTATGGTAGTGTTCCTTAACAATGAGTTTTTCAATATCTGAAACAGCAGCTATGCAACACTGCTGCACAATCTCTACCTTGCTTTGTCCATATCCCAACAATATTTGTTTTTCTGTCTCCTGAATTAGTAAAGACCTTTGAGGGCAGTTTTGTCCATTGCTCAATTTACACTGAGATGAGTGCTTGGTCTGGAATATAGTGGGAGTTCATATATATATATGAACTTATAAGGGCTGGAGATATAGCTCATATGCATTCATGTGAATCTCTCTCTCTCTCTCTCTCTCTCTCTCTCTCTCTCTCTCTCTCTCTCATATATATGCATTTGATTGTTGCAGGGTCTCATTACTCAGCTTCGACACGTGGCGTAATCCCAGCCTCCCCAGCGCTACACCTGGACTCTGGCTGGCTCAGCCTGCCCTGGGGGCTGGACTCGGTCTGCATGTGGTGTTAGGGATCGAGCCAGGGTCCCTGTGCTTGCCTAAGCTTGCCTAAACAGGCACTTTAGTCCACTGAGCTATCTCACCAGCCCCTTATTGAGTATTTTTGATTACATAAGTTTTAGGAAGTAAAGAGGATGAGAACATATGTAAGTAGATTTCTAGATTTCAGCACAGCTTACATTTTTATTTGTATGCTTAGGTAATCAAGAGAAGTGAGACAAAAGTGTAGCGTTACAGATTTCCATCAATAGTGGAGAGTAAATTGAATGGGATATAATGAAATCTGCAGTCACAGTTCAGTGTCTGCTTTAAGGTTGATAACTAATTTAGTGATCTTAGTCTGGAAGGACAGTTTTCTACAAGACACAAACATGGAGAAGACTGGAGGTCGAGCCAAAGTGGGGGTGTTAATTGGAGAAAAGGGACAACTGGGGTGGGACTGTAAGAGAGGAGTTCTAATGATATACCATTTATATATCTACAATAGATGAGGGAAATTAAGAGTAGAAGAGGTTATGTTTAAGACACAAATTAGAGACTTTTTTCAGCAGATTGGAAGTGGCAAAATGAAAGAACAGTTATGTTAACATTTTAAGCAATTAAACTGAAAGGATAGAAGGCTGACTGGGCCGAGGTACATTCAAGTTACTGATTTGTGTTTGGTGACAAGGTCTAGGTTTTGATTGGGATTGGGAGGATTGCTACAGAAGAGGCCCGATGTTGAATAAACTGTCCACCTAAATTCTGTTTTTTGTTTTTTGGGTTTTTTTTTTTTTTTTTGGCGGAACCCGGGATTGAACTCTGGCCCTTGTGCTTGCCAGGGAAGTGCTTATTCTACTGAGTCATCTCCCCGGCCCCTGTCTACCTAAATTCTGACATGACCTAGAAAGATGGCCAAAGAAAAGAAAGTAAACCCTGAATGCGCAAATCGACCACAGTTCACTACAGAGGTGGTCAAATGGGTGTCAAAGTCTAAGAGAAAGAGGCAGAGAAGCTTTTGTCCAACTGTGGACTGGCATTCAGACCACAACTCTGGGACCTGATATGACAGGGAGAATACTAAACCACGTGAAGGGTCCCAGGGGTTGCAGGATCCTCAGGAGTCAGGCCGGTCTTGTTCAAGGATTGAAAGCTGAACTAAAAGCGGGAAACCCTGAGAAGACCAGTTTGAAGGAGACTTTTGGTTTAGATGTAGATCAAAGTAGCAGGAAACTCTAGGAATCTCTTCTTTATTGTTTGTCCTTCTTCCCAGCTTGCCGCCGCAGGATACCAAACGCTCTCACCAGAAAACACAACCGTACCCAACCCAGCTCTTTACAACTCTGTGTGGAAGTGCTCCCCTCGAAACTCCTTCGGGTCCGCGCTCTCCCATTGGTTGAAGCTTCGCCCGCTTCCACTCGCTTCCGCTCACGATTCCGAGGGGTGGGGCCGTCCGAGGGAGTCACTTCCGCCTTGCCCCCCTTCCCTTTTTAGCCGCTTCCGTCCTCAGGCCCCGCCCCACTCGTGGGCCCCGCCCCCACCCTTCTCCCGCCCCGGCCGGTGGCCCGGCCCCACCGTGCCGCTTCCGGTGCGGGCTCCGCCCCGGCTGTGGCCCCCGGCGGCAGCGGAGGACTCCAAGACGCAGCTGCGGCCTGGGGCCTGAGCGGCCGCTTAGTCCACAGCCCGCGGCCGGAGCCTCACAGGTGAGCCGGCGGCGCCCGCTGTCGGCAGGTGGCGGGCCGGGGATGAGAGAGGCAGGTGTGTGAACGGAGTGGGGACACCCGGCCGGAGGGGTAAAAAGAAAGGGGTCGGGGGGCCCGGGGCTGAGGAGACCCTGGTTCGAAGGAGGGAAAGTGACTGGGCTGCCTGGGGAGGGCCCAGAACGGGGGACGCGGGGTGGCCGCGAGCGGGCTTGAGGAAGCCAAGCAGGCGAGCGTCGCGGTTGTCGCGGGCTCCGGGGTCCCGTAGTGCGGCTGGGGGAGGGGCTGCGCGGGAGTGCGAGAACCTGCAGGTTCCTCAGACCTGAGCTCCGCGAGTGCGGGCAGGTGGCATTGTTAGCCGCCTGGGGACCAGGGAAGATGGACTCTCGGGGGAGAACGTGCGTCAGTCGAGTTGTAGAACTGAGTCATCTCTGTTCCCGGGACTGCACACCAAGAAGATGGTGCCACGGGAGAAGTGACTGGCAGAATTTGGTTGAGGGATGATTTTGTGATTGATCTTGATGATTATAAGGACATTTTCACTGGTCACTGAATGGTTGGTTTTATCCTTTTGTTTAATTTTCTTTGACTTAAATTGTTTTTGTTTTTTATTTTTATTTATTTATTTATTTTTCAACAAATAATACACTGCGTATATTCTTCTTAGTGGTTAATTGCTGTTTTTTTTTTTTTTTTTTAACTTTAAATGAACACTTTTGCCTGCTGGAATTAATATGAGTGAAAATCTTTTCGTGCTTTGTACACTGAAAAAAGAGCTAAAGCAGAATGAAAGCATTGCTTCAGGCTTAACTCACACTTTCTAAAGTGCCAAGAGAGGAAGTAAAGGAAATCAGGCAAATTGGAATTTGAATCTATTACAGAATTCAGAAGGCTTAAGTAGCACTTCAATGATAAACAAAAAGAGTATTTACTTTTTTAAACCTAGCTTTAAAAATTGTACTCTCTTTACTCTAACCTATAAAAAATTCATAGTCCAAGCCATTTTTGTTGCTAGGGATGTGATTACTTCCCCATGAATTTTTGAAGATGCTGAAGATTTTTTTTTGTCTTCCGACCCAGTTCTAAAACACTGAAACAATGCAAATATCATGTTCCAACCTGTGCTATACAGCTGCTTCTTTCATGTGATGACAAAATTACACACCATGTTGCAGGCCCTGTTCACCCTAAAATTTGCCCTTACATAGGAATCCATTCTGTTAAGGAGACTTGCTGAGAAAACATTAACTCAAAGGGAGGTTTGTTGGGGGTGGGAGCTTAGAGAGGAAGAAGGGGGGTTTAGAGATGGAGAGGGTGTGAAAGGGGTGTTTGGAGACTGATTGGTAAGAATGCAGATAAACCTGCCCCCAGAATGCTTTTGGCCGAGTCTTTTCTTTTTGTATTCATTGTAGGAAAAATATTGTAGTAAAAGTGAATCAGAAAGAAAAAAGTTTGTGAGATTTATTTGGCCGTATATAAGAAAGAAGATTAACTTGTTTAGACAATATTGATACCTGTTTCAAATTAATTAACTTTAAAATCTCCTGAGGAATTCGCTCCTGTTTATTTTTGAGGGAGGATTGCAATTTGAGACTCCTGCCTCCTGTGTTTTTTTTCTTTCATGTTGTTGAAATTGGATTCTTTTTGAGGCTGTAATGTCCAGTTAGCCTGATTCAGTCCATTCCAAAAGCAGGCTGGCAATTTGATCTGGGAAATTTGCAAAGTTTAAACCCAAGATTAACGTGCTTGATCTTGCTTTTTCTGTAAGAGAAGTTGTGCTGTCTCCCTTGATAGTTCTTTCTAGTGTGGATGTTAATTTCTTTCTCTGATGGGCCTGGGAACATAAGGGGTATTTTCTTTTTTGTAAGCAGGCCTTTCATTTTATTATGGTAATTTTCATAGTTATAACCCCTTGGACAGTACAGTGCAAATCCATTTATTTGTCTTTTCAGTAGTAAACATGAATGTTTGATAATGTAGAGATCAGAACAGAGATGTTGGCAGATGAAGTAGCTTCTGGATTTTCATCTTTTAAAACCCTCAATAGTACCACTACCAAAGTTGCGCTCATATTTTTCTTCTTATATCTTGTTCTTTTGTTTACATTCCCCCCCCCATACTGAACTTGTGTTGAAACGCAGATTTAAGAGCACGTGTTTAGTGGTCAAAGCTATGGCTCTTTACTGGAGAAATGAAAACCTTTTATACCTGTTTCATGTAGTTGTTTTTCCCCCTTCCTCCTCCTCTGTGGTTTTGGTTAATCACTTAAAGTGTAGACCCAGCGTGCCTGCTAGGCTGTGCCCTGGTCCAGAGCCATGCCAACCTGTGAGTGAGACTCACGGCAGTGATGGAGCCCCTGCAGCAACAACAGAAGCAGTCGAACCTTGCTCCTCTGCAGATGGATGCCCGAGAGAAGCAGGGACAGCAGATGAAAGATACCCAGTTCCTATATGCCCAAAAGCTAGTCACACAGCCTGCTCTCCTTTCTGCCACACCTGGGAGACCTGCCAGCAGTCCTGCCCTGGGTCCCTTAACCAGAGTTTCACCAGCAACACCAGTGGCCCGAATTTTTGAACGGAGCAATGTGAACTCAGAGCCTGAGGAAGAGGAAGGAGGTCTAGAAGATGAGGATGGGGAAGATGATGTTGCAGAAGTGGCTGAAAAAGAGGCCCAGGCTGCTTCCAAATATTTTCACGTGCAGAAAACAGCTCGCCTAGATTCCCGAGCAGCACCCATGTCCAGTTTGCTTCCAGCACCTGGGCTCCCCTCCCATGGACAGCAAACTAAAGAAGACCATACCAAAGATGCTTCCAAGGCCACACCTTCTGTTTCTATGGCTGGGCAGTCAAGCTGGAATCCGGATGAGCAGCTTAAACAGGTGAGTGTCTCTGCCTTGGAAGGCCATTTGTTCTTCCTAAAGGCAAGCTAGAGAGGGTGCTCAATGGCCAGGAGCAGTGGCTTTGCCAGTCTGGGCTTCCTGGCTTTACTTCACTGACCCACAGCCAAGGCATGAATAGACTTTGAATTTTTTTTCTTTCCTTTTTCTTGGGCAGGAGCTGCAGTTCATTGGTAGTGTGTATTAGTATGGCCAACACCCAGGTCAGTGGTGGCAAAACTATGGCACTCTTGCTGCGGCTGGCTGGCTGTTATTGAGAGCTTTAAAAGGTTTGCCATCACTGCCTTCAGTGGTAGGTTCTGTGTTCACTATGTACACGTAAATTAACATTTGCTTTCTTGATTAAAATGATAGAATGCATATTACTCTTCATACAGATGTTCCAAAATTTTTTATTGTGTGTGTGTGTGTGTGTGTGTGTGTGTGTGTGTGTGTGGCCAGCTCAGCCCACCAGGGGGCGGGGCTGGCTGGCATGTGGTGCTGGGGGATTGAACCGTGGTCCCTGTGCTTTGCTAAGCTTGTTCTAAGTAGGTGCTTTAGACCACTGAGCCATCTCACCAGCCCATGATGTTCCAAATTTGATGTGAAAGAATGTTAGTATTGCCTTTCTTTTTTATTTTATTTTTTAATTTTTTTTATTTTTATTTTTTTGGGCGGAACCGGGTATTGAATTCAGGCGCTTGCACTTGCCAGGGAAGTGCTTATTCCACTGAGCCATCTCCCCGGCCCTGCCTTTCCTTTTTAGAGGAAGGGTAAGTTTGCTACAATATCACTAGGATTATCTAAAAATGGGATGCTTGACTGTCATTAATTTTTATAATAGTAACAAAACAGTCTTGCCCAAGTGTTTCCTAGGCTGATACAGGACAGTGCCCACTGAGGAGATAATATATAATATTAAATATAATTTGTTATAGCTGACAAGAAGCATTTTTTTTAAAGTCTATTTATTTATTTATTGTGTGTGTGTGTGTGTGTGTGTGTGTGGCCAGCTCAGCCCACCAGGGGGCGGGGCTGGCTGGCATGTGGTGCTGGGGGATTGAACCGTGGTCCCTGTGCTTTGCTAAGCTTGTTCTAAGTAGATGCTTTAGACCACTGAGCCATCTCACCAGCCCCGACAAGAAGCATTTGTATCACATACTTTTCCCAAGAAAGAGACTTGTGTACATGATTTAATTTTACCTTTATATCATCTCCTTAGACAGAGAGAAGGGTAGACTTTAAAATTCCCTTTTTAGCTGCAGAAAGCTGAAGTGACTTCTAAACATGGCTAAATATCAGTCAGCTAGAGGGCTTTTAAAAAAGGCAGATTGCAGGATCTTAATGATTTTGGAGGGTAGAGCCCAGGAAATCTGTGTTTCTAACCAAACCTTTATTTATAATTTCCTTTTTCTGGGTGGCCTGCACTGCAGCTTTCCTTACTTAGAAGGAGAGTGATGCTAAGTTGTGCCAGGCTGAGTGACTTGTTGGTTTGGGCAGAGTTCATGATAAAGCCTTTGTGAGTTCTGTGGGCATGCTCCATGTGGCTCAGTGGTACCATTTAGACATTGGTCAGAAGCTCTGTGCTTACAATGAAAGGACAGCTGAGAAATCATATAAGAAGTCTTGGAAACTGAAAAATACAGGTGTGCCAAGTTTTATAATGGCAGTGTTGGTGGTAGAGTCTGCAGTAAGAAATGGGCCTTACGTTCCACCCCTTCCATTTCTACCTTAGGATCTTTTTGTGGCAGTCTTGAGTTGCTCTGGCCTGTGTCTTTCCATCTGTAGAATAAAAACAACAAAGATGCCCCTTAGGGATGTTGGAGGAATTAATGAACTAGCCCACGTGAATGTCTGTTCAGTTCCAGGCACATGATAGCCATCCGTGCTCCAGAATGTTTGATGCAGACAGTGCCACCCTGCATCCACACCAGTGTGCTTGCAAAGGTGCACAGAGAGTTTCTTCACATCACCCAGGGGGACAGCAACAGAGCTAGGACTAGAATCAGAATCCTGACTTCCACGACAGCAGTCCCTGGCTGCCAGCCCAGACCCGCCTCCTGGCTGATGGCTTTGGTTTAGCAAAACATCTGTGAGTCGCTGGCAACCCCCATGTGGCTGTGTGGTTGGCAGAGTTCCATGCTGGCCGCTGAGTCAGCTCCTAGCGGAATCCCGCCCTGACGGTGCTGGGAAAGTTCAGGCCTGAGGCGGCTGGCTGCCCCCGCCTTGGCAGCTGGCCAGCCTCTGCATGTGTGCGGTTGTTCCTAGAAAGTGCTGCCGTGTGAGCAGAACAAGTGTGCTCCAGAGCCTATCTGTCTTCAGGAAGTGCAGCAGGTGTTGAGGTCAGGCCATTAGAGCTTTGATAAAGACACTCTTCATAACTGGCGTGTGTGTGCATAGAATGTGCACCGCGGCAGGGCTCTCAGCCCCAGGTTCTGGATGGCAGCAGCCCCAGGACTGCACAGCTCAGTGTTGGAGTGGCTGGCTGTTGACTTTGGAAGCTCTTTGGAGTTCATTTCAGTTTCTAGGGCTTACTTGCTAATTTATTAGCAGAGGACCTGCCAAAATATTTTCATAGATGCTGTAGTAGCTGAGGCTGATCCACACCCTGAATTAACCTTATTTATTTACCCTTGAACTTGGAGATCAGGAACCAGATGAGGGGGCCATTCATTGGGTAGCAATGACTTAAGTTTTTGATGAGCACCTTTTATGCCTCTTATACATTCACTTTTATAAAATTGATTTAGTGTGTGTTTTCCTTGCCATAATCTGCCTTTCAAAGAAGTAAAGAATGTGCTTGAAGGTTACAAAATTGTTGTAGTTGTGCTTTGGAAGGAGGACTGAAAAAGCAGTATCAGGGGGAACCTACAGAAACCATGAGACTAGCTATTTTTATTACTCAGTCTTTTCTGTGTGTAATTAACTTCTGGAGAGAAGAGATAGCCTTGCTCACTGAACAGTTGATGTAAGATCTTGTTAATGTGTTATATTGTCTTTTTTTTTTTTTTTTTTGTATTTAAGGGAGGGGTCTACAGGGTGTTCAGGGTCTCACTACTGGATAGGACGGATAGGACTCGTAGTGATCCACCTGTTTACAGCCTCCCAAGAACTGGGATTACAGGTGTGGGCCACCATGCAGAGTGTTAATTGCCATCTCAGTGTGCCCTTGGGGAGGGGCCAGCACAGCATCCCTGGGGATCAGACCCCTGACCCTTACACCTATATTGTCTTATTTTGTTGTTTCAAACAACAAACTGTAGCCTAGGCTGGCCTTGAACTCATAGCAGTCCTCCTGCCGCAGTCTCTCAAGTGCTAGAATTACAGGTATGTGTCACCATGCCTGGCTATTGTGCAGTTATAAAAAAAGTATTTATTTTTATTGTACATGTTTGCAGTATATGATGAGTAATTTCTAATAGGGAGTTAGTACATGTATTTTTTTAAGATTAAATATTCATTGAAAGTTCAGCTAATACTACATAAAAATAAAATGAAAATCACTGAAAATAATTATCAAATAGAATTTGTCTAGTTATCTTTTTTACTCAAATCTTCATTTCATAGACATAATGACATGGATCTGTTAGGGTCAGTTTTTTTTTTTTTTTGGCAGAACTGAGGATTGGACTCAGGCCCTTATGTTTGCCAGGCAAGTGCTTATTCTACTGAGCCATTTCCCCGCCCCCAAAGAGCTGCGCTAAGGGGCAGGCCCCCTAGGGTCAGTTTTTAGAAGAATTCTGAGACTTTTTTTTGGAGACAAAGTCTTTTTTTAAAAAAGTATCTTTTCATATTTCAGGCTGGCCTTGACCTTACTATATATCCCAGTTTGGCCTTGAGCTTGCGTAGATCCTCCAGCCTCAGCCATATGCTACCGTACCTGGCTAGTTCTAAAACTATTTGAAAGGAATATGAATTGTTTAGTATATTTTGTGTGCTCTGCGTGAGTTTGTTAGATCACACCTATTAATTGTAGTATTGATTTTTCCAAACTCATTACTGTATTTGAATTCTTTTTTTTGGTTCAAGAAATCGAACTCACAGCCTTGAGCTTTCCAGGCAGGCACTGTGCCACTGAGCTATATCCCCTATATTTGAATCCTTAATCTGTATTAATCAAGCAATAGTGAAAAAATGTTAAGGCCTCCTAAAAGGGACTTTTTTTTTTTTTTTTGGTGGAACTGGGGATTGAACTCAGGCCCTTGAGCTTGCCAGGGAAGCTCTTATTCTACTGAGCCATCTCCCTGGGCCCAGGACTATCTAATATTATTTGTATTTTGCTTTAAATATTTTGGTACTTTAAGGTAAATTGAATTTGAACTTTAAAAAAAAATTAGTGGCATTCCTGTTCTAGCAATGCTTTACGTTTTGTCTGATACCACTTTCAAATTCCTTTAATTGGTATTAATTAGCCTAGGTTTTATCTCTGTCTTCTTTTTTTCTTTTTTTAAATATATTTAGTATAGGGTCTACAGGGTTTTCCTACACAGATCAGACTTGTAGTGATCCTTCCTGTTTTTCAGCCTCCCAAATGCCGGGATTATAGATTAGTGCCACCACGCCCAATCTCAGTCACCTTCTCAGTGTGCCCCAGAGGTGGGGCCAGCGTGGCAGACTGGGGATCAATTGAACCCCCAGCCCCTGCGTCTGCCTAAGCAGGTGCTTTATGTCTCATAGTTTGAAATTTTGATTCCTGTCAATAGTTATGTTTTAGTTATCACTTTTATTTTTATTTTATTTATTTATTTTTTTTGCGGAACCAGGGATCGAACTCAGGCCCTTGCGCTTGCTAGTGAAGCGCTTATTCCACTGAGCCATCTCTTCAGCCCCTTATTTATCACTTTTAAAGAGCATCTTCAGTGCTGCGGAGATAACTCAGCAGTTCAAGCACCTACCTGCAATGATCCGAGTTTGATCCCTGGTACTGCATGCCAGGTTGGCCCTGAAACCCTGGGCGCACTGTGCTGGTCACCAGAACCAGGCATGGTGGCGCACACCTGTAA